TACTCTCGTCAAGCACCACGCTATATTGTTAAACAGCTACCAAAGCACAAAAGGTAAGTAATTGCCCAGGACCACACAGCTAAAAATTACCAGGGCTAGGGTTCTAACTCAGTCATTTGGGTTTAATAATACTGTAAATCACTTCTAGTAGAAATTGTCAGGAATTATTTAATATTAAGACCTTACTGAATTGTCCCTGGTTGTCCTGGTAATGCCTTTTACAGCTGTTTTCTTCTATGCTGGATCCAATCAAAGTCCACACACTACCTATGGTTAGAGCCTGTTTCCTTAACTCCTCTTTCTCAGTGAAAAAAATCAACATCTCAAAATAAACTCGGAGGGGTGCCTGGCTGTCTCAGTCGATACAGCATGCTACACTTGATCCCGGGATTATGAGTTGGAGCCCCATGTTGGGTGTAGAGAGTACTTAAAAATAAAATCTTAAAAAGAAAAAATACACTTGGAAATCCACTTTAGTAAGAAAGACATTTCAATCTTACTCATAAAATGTGATTGACAGAACTTTAAATCTGTATGAGATATGATTTTAAATTTTTTTCTGAAACGCTCAACTATGTTATTAAAATAGTTTTTAAAATTCTGGAACAGCTTTAATTTAGAAAAATCTCTATATCCCTTCAGTAGGCTGTAAAAAGAATCCAGATCTTCAGATGGTAGGGAGTACAAAGTAGATAGAACAAGTTCTCGAGGAGGTGAGAAGAACCTCATTTCTGATCTGAAAGAGGGACACAATGAAGTTTTCTTCCTTATGTTTTGTTCTTCTTTACAAAAGCATAGCAGGGCTGTGGGTAAGAAGCTTAATTAATCCTTTTTATATTGGCAAAAATTCAGTTGCCTTCACACTGCATCCTTTGGATAGTTATAGGACTTATTTCTCCTCAGCTGTCATCACTTTGCTTCTTTACCACACTATTAACTATTGAAAGAAAAAAAAAAAAAAAGAACAAACCCAAAACGCGACCCTACACCTACCTAAGTTTTAAAATCACAACCCAGGAAAACGAAAGAGTATACCCCTAAAAAAAAAACACTATTTAAAACTGTTTCAAAGTTATACTAAATATTCTGAAATAAAAGCCGGCGTCTCAAGATTCGAGGAGAAAATAAAATACAGAAAGTGTGTCTTCAGGCCTTTACTCGCAAATGCCCTTTGATTCTAACTGGAAAGGAAATCGAGTAAGAGAAAGTATGTCCTTGGAGACACTCCACTTTGGTTGGCAGAATATTCGTATATAAAAACATGCGAGGGGCGCCTGCGTGGCTCCGTGGTTAAGCGTCTGCCTTCGGCTCAGGTCATGGCCTGGGATCGAGCCCCGCACCGGGCTCCCTGCTCCGCGGGAAGCCTTCTTCTCCCTCTCCCGCTCCCCCTGCGTGTGTTCCCTCTCTCGCTGTCTCTCTCTCTGTCAAATAAATAAATGCTTAAAAAAAAAACAAAACAAAACCCACACAAACATGTGAGATCTGACTCCCCTCCCGGCTTTGAAAGTCTTTCAAACGAAAAAACCGAAAGGCGAGCTGGATTCAGCATCTGTATTTCCGTGGGGGCAGGAGAGGAGTCCTCGCGCACCTGCCGCGCACCTGCGCTCTCACAGCGCCTCCCCCTGGCGCCTTCCAGCCCCGCATCCCGGCACCGACACCGCACACCTGGGCGCGCAGCTGCCGGACAGGTGCACCAGGCCCCGCCCCACTAAGGGGACTCGGCGACTTCCAGCCAGGAAACCGCGCCGGGGGCGAGGGTCCTCTCGCTGCCCGCTGGTCCACCAGCCCCGCCGTCCCCCGCCCGGCCGGCCGCCGCCGCCCCGCTGCCGCGTCGGTCCCCCGCCCGGCCGGCCCCTGCCGCGTCGCCGCCCCGCCGCTCGACCACCGCCCCGCTGCCCCGCTGCCCGGCTACCGCGCCCCTGTGGCTCCGCGACCCGGGCGGCGCGGACCCGACCTCCGGGAGACCTTGGTGGTTCCGGGGGTCCGGCCCGGGGGTCTCGTCACCTCATGAGGTAGTCCCGAAAGTCCTTGCTCCGGACATAGTCCGCCGCTTTCCGCACCAGCGCGCCCGCCATGGCCGTGCCCGACACCAGACCGCCCACACTGCCCTCGCCTCCGCTCCTCGGAGCCCAACGACACCCAGCCTAGCGGACAGCGCTGACACCGCACCCGCCCGCGGGCTCGCCTCACGACAGCCGGCTCCGCCTTACGGCCGCGCCGCGCCAACCGGCTCTCGGCCTATGGGAGGACGCAGGGCTGGACGTGGCGACGCGGATTGGTTCGCGCGCGCCGCACACCTTCTCACCGCCCCTCGGGGGCGGGGCCTGCTGCCGTAAAACGGCCGGGCCCCGCCGAGGATTGGCTGGCGGTCGCTTCTGGCGCGATGGTGACCGTCCCGACGCCGACGGGCCGGGGTCCTGCGTCCGCAAGACGGGGTATGCCCGCGTCCTCGCAAGGGCACCTTGGCCGGGAGTGCCGGCGTGCACCGCCCGCAGCAGGCCGGGGTGGGGACGCGCGGCCGCGGCGCAGGAGCCCGCGGCGTCGGATCGGGAAGGGGAGGGGGAGGCTTCGGTTCGGGTCTCCACGGCCTTCTGCGGGCCCCAGGTGAAGACGGTCGGGTCCCGTGAAAGGCCCTTGGTGAAGGTGTAGCGTACCGGGCTGTCGGGCACCACTGGCAGGACCGTAGGTTGGATGTAACCGCCTGGGGCGCTGGGCGGCTGATTGACCTTGACAAAGGACAGACCAGCGAAAGCCTGTGCAATTCCAGATGCACAGCATTGTTTTTAAATATGCTCTTTAGAGCCTTCTGTTAGTTTCCCACTGCATGGAGGACTACGAGCTAGAGAATTGCAATAAAGGAATATATAAAGGGAAAAATGCCTTGCTGAGCAGCTAACCTGGGATCTGAATCCGGTTCGTTTTTACTCTGAGAGCCATGCTTTCCCCATGATTTCATGTTGCCACAATGAGAGGGACTTTCTTCCAAGTTCATATGTGTCTTTGCTACTTTAAATATGGAGCAGGGATTGGGACACCTGGGTGGCTCAGTCCGTTAAGCATCTGCCTTCCGCTCAGGTCATGATCCCAGGGTCCTGGGATTGAGCGCCATGTCAGGCTCCCTGCTTGAGGGGGAGCCTGCTTCTCCCTCTGCCTACCACTCCCCACTGCTTGTGCTCTCACTCTCTCTCTGACAACTAAAATCTTAAAAAATAAATAAATAAATAAATAAATAAATATGGAGCAGGGGCGTCCGGGTGGCTCTTTCCATTAAGCACCTGACTTCGGCTCAGGTCATGATCTCGGGGTCCTGGGATCAAGCCCCGATGGGGCTTCGCACTCATCGGGGAGTCTGCTTGTCCCTCTGCCTCTGCCCCTGCCCCTGCTTGTGCTCTCTCTTTCTCTCAAATAAATGGATAAAACCTTTAAATATGGAGCAGGCTATATGGTCTAATGTATAAGAGAACATAACAGTAGGCAAGAGATCCAGCTACATTATTTCATAAAACTTAAGAAAGGCCTAACCACCCTACATGGTCCCTACACGGACAGAGTATAGAAGGTAAAAATGCAGACATCGCTGAATACTTTGAGTCCCAGGTTTGTGGAAGAATCTCACATGCCCCTCCAAGTTTGGAAATGACAATCACACACAGGGCTGTCCTCAGCGCTTCCCTGTTGACTTAGGAAGAGGATCTGTGAGCTCAGACAGATTGCTGGTCGCAGTGGGGGAAAGCTGGCCCTGTTACGGAGCACCTGTATGGGCCAGAGTTGTGTAGGCAGCTTGCACACGCTGTGTGTCCAGGGCAGTGCTTGTGTTTGTAGGAGGGTTGCTGGTCCCCAGTTGGGTGTCCCATGCAGGGGTTCATGGCAGGCAGTTCTGTGATGCCTCACATGGTAATAAACTAGCTACATTCTTTCACCTAATTCTCAAAATAGCAAAAAAATAAGGAAAAGAGGAAACAGTAGATGTGCTTATGAACTAACACACTTCATTTCACACGTTTTCTTCTGGAAATAGGGGTTATAATGATCATTTTGTCTGTCTGGGAGGGCTATTGTGATGACAAGAGGCAACTTTTGAGGCATACTTAGTGGATGAGAAAGTGTTTTATAAACATAGACGTGTTGCTTTGTCTAGCGGCCCACTTTTATTCCAGCCCAACACCTGCCTTTCTTTGGCAGTTAGGGAGGCACACATTAGTTTGATGGCTTTAGTAATTTTTTTTTAAAGATTTTATTTATTTATTTGACAGACACGGCGAGAGAGGGAACATAAGCAGGGGGAGTGGGAGAGGGAGAAGCAGGCCTCCCGTGGAGCAGGGAGCCCGATGTGGGACTCGATCCCAGGACCCTGGGATCATGACCTGAGCGAAGGCAGACGCTTAACGACTGAGCCACCCAGGCGCCCCAAGATGGCTTTAGTAATTTAAAGAATGTAGTAAATAAGTGAGCTGAGAAACTCGGGAGTTCAGTGAGAACTGGGGACACTTGCACTCAGAGGCCTGGGCACCATCTGGAATATGAATGTGTACTGTCTTGCCACCTTATCTCTTGGGTCCTACCTGTCATGAATCCATTGTGCTGCCCCCAAAGCTTGGTGAATGCTTCCGGATTAGCAGCCCGTCCCCATCCACTTTTTTGCAGACTCACTGTTCCCATAGTGTTCCTACAGAAGTCACGAAGAAACGGTTTCACAGGCAAAGAATCTTCACTTGGCAATTCAGGAATTTCCTAGTGAATAAATGGTGAAGGATAAAGGAAACAGAGACATCACTATTTTGCATTCCCTACTGAAATGAGTGATTTAGGCCGCAAGCTTCAGAGGACACTAAACCCAACCACTGAAAGGGGAGAGGGAACTGGGTAAACCACAGGAGGCAAACTGTCGCTCCCAGATTGCTCGCTGCTGGTTTATGGGGAAAACAGGCCAACACGCTTTATTACGAGTATAGACAGCTTTCTCCAGTGCTGTGTTCTTGGGACCCTCGGGGGGGGGGGTGTTTCTTGGTTCAAGGTATTTAGGAAACTTTGAATCTGACAAGGTTCATTTTTTTTCTGCTGCACTTCTGAGAGCCTTTACTTAAGTCACCTGAACTGTGACAGCATAAAAGAAGCTTATCCCATGTAGCATTTCCCAGCTCTCCTGAACCATGGGCCTTTTCGGAAGGAGCATCGTGTAGGATTGGTGGTCCGGGGGTTCCAGTGTCTGTGTGCCCTCCCAGCCAAGGTGTGCCCGCAGGAGAAACTGGACCTTCAAATCAGGTGAATACATGCTGCCCCCTTTTATCTAGCTGCCTGCATTTGGCAAGTCTCTAAAACCCCCTCGGCTTCAGTTTTTTCATCTATAAAATGGAAACAATAAATGTCACACCATACATGTTGTTGAGTTTCTGTGGGAATTGCCAGGAGTAACATATGGACAAGGTCCACAGTGTCCACCACAGACCCAGTGAATGTTGACCTCTTCCTGTATTCCACGTTAGCACAGCTTGAATGCCCCCACGGGCCTACCCACCAGCCTCTTCCCTTTGCTAAGGCTCAGATGGTTTGTTTTTTAATCAGGGAGAGTGGGTAAATATTGCTCCACCTCTAATCTTCCAAGCATTATTTACTCTTGTCTGAGGACGAAGGGCTGAGATGTTATCCTGTTCATCTCTGCCCTTGGAGAAAGGTCAGAGGTACCCCAGCTCTCTCTAGGGCCTTATCTCAACTTCTCCTACATGATTGTTTGGTTCTGGGTGTGGTGAAAACCACTCTGGGGGAGCATATGACTGGGGACTTGGGCTGCCTCCATTTTGACCTCAAACTCTCCGGTTGGGTTCTTCTTTCCATCTGGCCTCTTGGCTCAGGGGGAAGACCCTATGGGCAAAGCATCTCCTCAAGGGAACAAAACTACCCCTCCAGCAACAAGGATTGCCCTGAGCCAGCAAGACACCACCGGCGATTGACTCTGAGACAATGATCAGTTAGACCTTCACTGCCCACCTGCACATAACCACCCATCTTTGCCCCACGTTTACCTATATATACCTGGAAATATTTTCGGCACTTCGGAGATAGCCTTTGAGACACTAGTTCGCTGTCTTTCCAGTGTTGGCCTCACTGAAATAAATCCCTTTCTTCTTTCACAGCCACTCGTGTCTCTGCTTTGGGTTTTGTCAGCAGTAACAGCAGACCCAGTGTGTTTGGGACTCCTGGAGCCAAGTGCTCGTGCATCCCTGTGATGTGGTTTTGGAATATAGGTGAGTTTCAGTGGGGTGGAGTCCAGAGCCGAAGACCAAGAAAGAATTCTTGAGATGTCTTTGGTGCAAAATGGTGGTTTATTAAAGCACAGGGACAAGACCCGCAAGGCAAAAAGAGCTGCTGCACCGGGGTTGTGAGGGGTGGCTGATTAGGTACTGTGGGTTGGGGGAAGTAAGGAAAACGGGAGTTTTTGAGAAAGAACTTTCATATGCTAAAGAAGACTCACAGGATACCAGAGGTCTTGCCATTGTCAACTTAAGGTTGTTTACCCCTCTAGTAAGGCATTAACATTAAGATAGTTGGGAACTTCCTGGAGGAACATTACTCTCGGCCTGCTTAAATTATCTGTCGACAGGCTGCAGGTTATAAGGGCATTTAATTGTATCTACATTCCCTTCTGGAAGCTATTGCTAAGGCTTTTGTAAGTAAACTGAGGAAGAAGACACAGGTCTTGCAGGATTGTGATCTCTATAGGTTAACTATTTGTTTTTCCTTTAGGACAGCTAGGAGTGCCTGAGGAATGTCTTATATATCCCATGGGGTGGTGGGGTTGCAGGGTGTCAACTTCTGCTTTGTCCTCAGCTTGCCTTCTGTTCATTCATTACCTGTGCCCCTGCTACAAGGGCATCAACAGAAATGGAAGCTCACATCTCTGACTACAGACTTAGCCCGTGGTGGGAGCCAGCCTGCTTTCTCCGCTGCAGCGGGACGGAGCTGGGATGAGCCCTTGGGCTGTGACTGCAGAAGCCTGGAAAGCCCTCTGATCTGCCCTGACACTGGCTGAAATTCTGCCTTGGTGAGAATGAGGGGGGTCGTGTTGATGGAAAAAGAATCCTTGGGGAGGGGCTCCCCCTGACTAAGCCCAGGACAATTTCAGTAGCAGAAAACAGCGACTACAAGCAATGAAGATGCCTCTTACCCATGATCCTCAAGGGAGAACAAAAAGATGTAAAGAAAGACCACAGAATGGGAGAACATTTCTGCAAATCATATATCTGATATGGGACTTGCACCTAAGATATTAAAAGAATGCTTACAACCCGGTAATACAAAGACAACCCATTTAAAGAATACGCAAAGGACTGAAGAGAGATTTCTCCAAAGAAGATACACAAACGGCCCACAAGCTCATGAAAAGGTGCTCAACATTATCCGCCATGAGGGAAATGCCAAGGCCACACTGCTTCCCACTCCACAGAAGGGCAGCAAATGGAGCACCAGGTGTCCGTAAGGATCTAGAGGAACAAGCCCCCTCACTGAGTGGAGCAACAGCCCTGGAGACAGCCTGGCAGTTCTTCCAATGACTAAACACAGAGCTGCCACATGACTCAGCAGTCCCACTCCCGGATCCACACCCAAGAGAACTGAAAACATATGTTCACACAGCCCTTATATCCAAATGCTCATAGCAGCATTGTAAATAACAGCCAAAAAGTGAAAACAACCCAAATGTTGGATCAACTGACGAATAGATAAGTAGAATGTGGAATAACCATACAGTGGAATATTATTCAGCAATAAAAAGAAACGAAGTCTTGGCACATGCTACCACATGGATGCATCCTGCAAGCACCACGCTATGGACACGCCAGGCACACGGGACCACATGCAGTATGATCCCACTCATACGAAATGTCCAGAGTGGGCACATCCAGTGAGACAGTAAATACATGGGTGTCTGTGAGGAACGGGGCATGGGTACACAGTCTCCCGCCAGGTGATGAAAACGCTTCAACATGGGTTGTGGTGATGGTTGGTACAGCTCTGAGAATGTGCTAAAAACCATCAAATTGTACACTTTAAAGGGGGAAATTGCATGATGCGTGAATAGTATCCCAGTAGAGTTATTTTTAAAAACTTAACAGTAAAAAACAAACAAACAAACAAAAAACCCCACAACTTTAAAAAATGCACAGGAAATAAAAAAAGCAAACAACATAAAAACCTGAAACTCCGTTGTCATAATTAGTACACCAACTCTTTTGGTAATTAAAGGGAAAGAAGCATTTACCTGTATGAACTATTTCAGATAGTCCTAGTGAAGAAGGAAAGCTCTTCTTCTCAGAGTAAGTTCAGCTAATAAATTTGGAAGAAAGGTAGAATTAAAAGAACACCAGTTTGCAATCCCTAGGGAAATGACGGCTTCAGACGAAAATCAGCAAGGAATGCTAAAAACTATTCTGTAGATAAATGGGAGCTGGATCTTTACAGGGATTATTTGCTGTCTGAAAGGGGAAATGCAAATTTACGAGGAGGGATCTAGGAGCTCCTACTTAACATTACCATCAGAAGGACAGAACTCTAGTACCTCCTGGTGTGATGCCTCATGGAGGAAACAGCCAGGCCGCCCACACCTTGAACCTGAATCCAATCTAGCCTGTGCACAGGAAGTGAAAGGATTAAAAGAAGTAATCCAATGAAACGCTGAGGAAGTAATCAGGCATGTCTAGCAGGTGGAACACTTAATAGGACAGCAGGGCCACTGAACCCCTCTCCCACAGGGCCCTGGCATGAGGGAAAGGGGGCTAGAAATACAACCGGAGCCACATGCAGAACTTTACGTTTTTAGTAACCACAGTAAGACTAAAAAGAAATAGGTGAGGATAATTTTAATGCTATAGTCTAGCCCAATAGATCCAAAATATTCTTTCGATATATATTCAGTATAAAAATTATTATTGAAATGTTTTATTTTCTTCTTTCCATACTAAGTCTTCAAAATCTCGTATGTATGATTCATCTCAATTCAAATACTAAATTTTCTTTCTTTTTTGAAAAAGTTTATGTATTAATTTTTTTTTTTTTTTTTTTTTTTAGTGATCTCTGATGTAGGGAAGACATTAGGGTTCGAAGCCGAGGGCCAAGAAAGAATTCTTGAGACGTCTTTGGTGCAAAAAGGTGGTTTTATTAAAGCACAGGGACAAGACCCGTGGGCAGGAAGAGCGGCACTAGGGTCATGAGGAGTGGCCCATTATATACTTTCAAGTTGGGCGGGGGTTAGGGAGAGCACAGACCTCCCAGGTATTTTGACAAGGAGGTTTCCAGGATCCTGAGGGGGGCTAGCTATTGTTGGAAAATGTCATTTATTATTGTTTAGTAAACCCTTAGTCATGAAACCCTTCAGATGTCTATCAGTGGGTCATATGCTTGGGGATAATTGCCAACATGTATCTTGGGGGGTAGAGATAAAGGAAGTTTCCAAAGGAATTTTTATGCATTAAAGTAGACTCACACGATCCTGGGGTCTGGCTAAGGTTGCCTTTTGCCCTTAACAAAATATCTACATCGAGGCGGTTGAGCTCCTAGAGGAATGTCACCCTGCTGTTTCAAGGACTTGTCAATGGGCTGTAGGTAGTAAGGAAATTTAATACATTTTCTTCTTCCTTTGTTTCCCACATCAGTGTCTGCTCCAGAAAACGGAATACGAATATTTTCAATCTATATCACATAGTGGAACAAAGCAATAAGAGAACATCGGTGTCTTGTTTTAAAATTCCAATAAATCCGCAATTTCAGCTAACATAGCTGGAGCACCATCTGTTGGGACAGAAATTAGTTTATCCACCCTTAGCTGTCACTCAAGACTCAAAAATACCTTCTCCTTGGGTTGGCTTTCCAGGCCATGAATTGGTCAAGTTTCTTTCTACACCTGAAATTCTGTGGTTCAGTTTACATCTGGTTTCATACTGGAGCCGCATAGGTATGTTTTAGATCAATTCATTAGGTATTACTTTGTTTAACCTAAATGATGTTACAAACAGTGGAAGAACTTGTGTATATTCTGAATATATAATGTCGGTTTAACATATTTGTCATGAAGACAAATTTTCTGCATCACGAAATGTGGTTTCTTCTCCTCCCTTGCTCTTCTCTATGTGTGGTCCTCAAGACACATCACGGATTCCTTCCTCTGACCTCCTGGCCCTGACAATGGTCACCTCTATTTTACCTAAATAACCCCTATCAAGCTCCGCCGCCTTCCCACAGTGGCGCCTGTCCTCAGGGGGAAGCCCGTGAGTGGGGAACTTGAGTTCTCAGGGCTCTGTCTAGACTTCAGGTACACATTCTCCACAGGTGATCTCAGTGCTGGAGATGGGGACAGCCAGGTGGATCGTGGCCCATGTGACTTGAATACGCCGGAAGCTAACTGTGCTAACTGTCACACTGCGGAGGCAGAGACATTAAAACACAGAACGAGATCAGGTCAGGTCGGTTCTTCAGAAATCTTTCACCCACAAACCGGGTTGACCTTTGCCTGAGTTAAGCTTGTTGACGTGGCCTCAAAGGAATTTCCCTGTGGGTCAGGCCACTGGGGTCTGGAATGTGTCCTAAGCAGCATATCTGAAAGCTAATATTTGGTTGTCCTTCTGTCTTATCCTTGGCCTAGTTCTACACTTACAAAGAGAAGGTGTAGCTTTACTGAATTCCCTGCAGGTCAGGCACCCGCCAGCATCACCGAATCATTAACCTTAAGGGGACTTTGCCGGCGGTGACAGACTACCACACTGGGGGGCTTAAACAACAGACACTGATTTCTCACCGTTCTGGAGGCTGGAAGTCCCAAATCAAGGTGTGACAGGGTTGGCTTCTCGTGAGGCCTCCCTGCATGGCCACAAGGCAAGCATCTTCTCATCGTGCATCCACACGGCCAGCCCTCCCTGTGTGTCTACCCCCGGGTCCAAATCCCCCCTTTTTGTAGGGACATCAGCCATGTTGGATTAGGACCCACCCCAATGACCTCCTCTTAACTTGATTGCTTCCCTCAAACACTGTCACATTGGGAGGTCCTGCGGTCCTCCAGCATGAGAATTTTGGGGGGAGGAGGACACAGTTCAACCCATCACATTAACTACCCACAATTTCTCCTGGGTCTTATCATGACTCATTTCCTGTCCCTCCCCCTCCCGTTTCCCTGTTTCTGTACATGGCGCGTGCGGATGGCGCTGAACTTTAGGTGAGGCTTCTCTGGAGAGAGTGTGTGCGTTGCCATCACTTATGAAGCGTGGCTGCCCGCTAGGCGGGCATGTGGCTTTTGGTACACGGAGAAGGTGGCTACGGCCTGCAGTGTGGACAGTGCGTGGATCAGCTTTCTTGTGCTGCAGATATTCCAAAGCCAGAACCGGTATCCCTCAGACTTCCCCGCAGCATGGACTCTGCCTTGCGACCTGGGCTGAGGTCAGAGCCAGCTGGGAGGGCGTCGTCCCTGCGGGGCGTGGCGTGGAGACAAGTCCAGTCCAGGGTGGCAGGGGGCAGGGCAGGGGTGTCTCTGCCAGTGGAGCCCCGCACTGTGGGGACACCAGCTTTGGCTCTGTTCTCTCTGGCCGAGCAGCAGCGTCCAGGCCTGCTCTCCTGACAGCTCTCCATGTTACCTAGGATGGTTTAATAATTCTCTTTCAGCTTAAACTGGCTAGAGTGGATTCTCTTGTTTGAGGGAGGCCATCAAGACTCCACATGAGAATGGCAGCATCTAGTGAAACTTTCTTCTGATCGTGGACACGTGCCAGAGTCTTGCCGTCCAGCACGGGAGCCCCAGCCTCGTGCAGCTGGGGGACACTTGGAATGTGGCCAGTGTGGCCAGGGAACTGAAGTTTGCACTGTATTTAATTTTAAGTGTAAATGTTAATAGTCAAACGTGGGTTAGTGGCCACTCTGTTGGTCAGCACAGCATCAACTGCAGGCGGGACGTGCCTGGAGACTGACCAGTGAAACAGTGGCCAAGGTCATGGCGGGGGGGGGGGCGTGCGCCAGGTCAGGGCGCCAGACCTGCCCTAGGAGAACCGCTGTGCTGGAGGTTTTCCTTTAACAATATAAAGTAATGGAGGCATCATTGTCTTTTGATAGAACTTTGAGCTGCAGGGTGGACAGGGTTTGAGAAGTGATGTTGCAGCAGGAGGGCCAGGCAGGAGGTGATCACAGTGGCCGAGGTGAGAGTGGGGACCAGCCGAAGGGAGTGGGACTCCAGCACCGGCAGGATGTGATGACCCAAGACTGGGCGGGGCGGGAGAGAGGCTTCCGACCAAAGGATCTCTGGATGTAACCTTTGGAAATGGTGTGTGTGGAAGTGTTGCAACTGAGTTCAGGAATCTGGAGGAGAGGCAAGTTTGGTTCTGCGGGGAGGTGATCTGCACCCTCTGGTGGCAGTCGGTGACCACTGCAAACACACCGATGGCCCGTGCCCTGTGCTGGGCACAGTAGTGAACTTAGGTGATCTACATGCCACATCAGTGAGGCCACCTAACCCACCTGAGGATGCCAAAGCCCAGTTTAGAATCTCATACGGCCCCCGGTTCATTCAATACCTTATCTATTTATTTGTTAACAAATCATTTTTTTTGTGTGAGGCATTGTGCTGAGCTGGGAGCAGAAAGAACACTTCCTCAGCGGTGTCCCAGGTGGGGGGAAATGGGAGCACCAAAGCCAAGTTCCCTGCAATGCTGACTCTCTGTATTACAGGCTCTTTGGGGAGCAACAGGGTCTAGAGAAGGTTTTACGGACACATTGCCTGAGCTGGCGGAAAAGGACAGGCAGGATTTTGTTTGTTAGACGGCACCCTGATATCAGTAAGAAACGCTCGTGACCAACATTACACCCAAACCTGCCTACAACACGTGGCACTAAGTAGCCGAGCAGATGACTGGATGTAGACAGAGTTGTGGTTAAAGCAAGTCTCAGGTCCTTTCAATGACGGAGCTGCCCGGGGCCCAGCTGTGTATTCGATGGCGTACACGACTTGGTGTGATTCAGTCAGGCCCAGAGGACGGCCAAATTGCCTCTACATTTTCTTCAAGGTGAACACAGTCTTAATTAGAGTTCTCAGAGAAATGGAGCCAACAGGAGGTATGTTTCCATCTCTAGCTACATATCTATACCTCTATATCTATTTGCCTATCACTTATCAATCGATCCATCTGGCTATCTATCAAGGGAGAGGGAGAGACATTTATT